CAGTTCCCAACCTGTACTGGCACATGGGGTTATCATTTCCCAGGTGCAAAATTCTAACTTGCCCTTGTTGAATTTCATAAGATTTCTCCCCACCCAGCCCTCTAGCCTATCTAGGTCAAAATATATTTCTGTTTCTGGAAATGAGTCACTTCCAGAAAGTGAACTACCATTGCAAGTAGTTCCCATGTTCCCATGCAGAGAGGAAAATTACACCATACACCCCTCATGTCCTTTTCAGGAGAAATCAGCAACGTGCCATAGATTCACTGCAGTCCACCCTTGATTCTGAAGCCCGGAGCAGAAATGAGGCCATCCGGCTCAAGAAGAAGATGGAAGGGGACCTCAATGAGATGGAAATCCAGCTCAGCCATGCTAACAGGCATGCTGCAGAAGCAACAAAGTCAGCACGTGCCTTGCAGACACAAATAAAGGTACTCTGAGAGTTGCCAGTCCAAGTGGTGCGGGCTGGGTTTCATTAGCACAGAGCAAAACAGCAGTGGTAATGATAACTGAGAGAGAAGCTACTCCCAAAGATGTGTAGGAAAATCCTTTAGTGATCACATCTGATGTAAGAAAATACTGAAATATGGATTGCTTTCAAGGTTTGCATACAATCTGAATGAGATTCTGTCGTAAAACCCTTGCTGACTACAGCCTCTTGCAAGGGGCAGAAAACTAAAACATGAAGAACTGAAAATCTATGATTTTCTTGGGAGCTTGCAAGTCCTTTAAAGGTGGAGAGCAAATCAGTTGGGTGGTGTACAGGGAGTGTGTGTTTATTCAGCTGTGTTGTTTGCTTCAATATCTGTAATATCTTAAAAAAAAAAAAAAAAAAGACTAGTGCTTTGCTAAGGTACCTCTTAAGTCATCGCCTCTCCCATGCCTAGGCAGCTAGTTCTGCCTTGGGCAGAACTGCGAGCTTTCACAGATTTGAACACACAGATCTTTTTCTCCCGTTGCACCACATACCACAAAAGCTATTCAGCAAACTGTGTGGAGGAAGCCTTTCTCCAAGAAAGAAGCACTGAAATTCTTGAGGTGGGCCCCATGCACCCTCTGCAACCTGGGGTCCTCTTATGTAAGTAGAGCAGCTTGAAACGGAGTTGCACTGGTAAAAAAACCAATTATCTATTTTGTTACAGGAGCTTCAGGTGCAGCTGGATGACTCAGGACATGTGAATGAAGATCTGAAGGAGCAGCTGGCAGTGTCTGACAGGAGGAACAATCTTCTCCAGTCAGAGCTGGATGAGCTGAGGGCCTTGCTGGACCAGACTGAACGGGCGCGGAAGCTGGCGGAACATGAACTGCTGGAAGCCACTGAGCGTGTGAACCTGCTTCACACTCAGGTTGGCCTTTTCTGTGCTCTCTCCCTCACTGGGTTAAATTGTGCCTTGGCTAATAAGCACTGGCACTATTTGTCCATGGCTGTCCTAAGTCAGACACGCATTGCCCTCCTTCAGGAGAGGAAGTGAGTCACTCTGTAGATATGACATCACACTCCCTTGAAGTTAACTGGACTTGATGATTCAATTCAAGCCAACTGCTTTAAACAGTTTCCAGAAAAAGCAATAATGGAAGATAACAAGAGTAAATTTCATTTTCTTTCTTCTTCCATGCTGTAAAACCAGTTTCCTGCTGTAGTTAAGGGCCACGAGGATGATTAGAGGGCTGGAGCACGTCTCCTAAGAAGACAGACGGAGAGAGTTGGGGTTGTTCAGTCTGCAGAAAAGAAGGCTCCAAGGAGACCTTATTGTGGCCTTCCAGTATCTCAAGGGGGCTACAAGAAAGCTGGTGAGGGGCTTTTTAGGATGTTGGGTAGTGACAGGACTAGGGGGAATGGATTAAAGCTAGAGATGGATCAGTTCAGATTGGACGTTAGGAAGAAGTTCTTCACCGTGAGGGTGGTGAGACAATGGCACAGGTTGCCCAGAGAGGGGGTGGAAGCCCCATCCCTGGAAGTTTTTAAGGTCAGGCTGGATGGAGCTCTGGGCAACCTGATCTAGTGGGAGATGTCCCTGCCCATGGCGGGGGAGTTGGAACTAGATGATCTTTAAAGTCCCTTCCAACTCTGACAATTCTGTGATTCTATGATTGATTCTACATCTGGGATGGTGAGCATTTCTTTGGAGAAACAAGGCAGGTGACATTTTTGTGCATGGCACTGATGTTATTCAGCAATGAAAACTGCAGAGGCTCAGTGCATCGTGTATTCTAGGTGTTTACAACAGGTGCATTGTGCGGGGCAAGGAAGTATCCTGCAGCAGAGTGCTGTCACATCACAGCTTTCCATTAAGATAGGCATTTGGATTTTGCCAAGATGGACACCACAGGTTTTATGGGGCCATGGAGGGGCACATGTTGACTCACTGGCATTTTTGCTATGAAACTAAAGCTTCTCCACTCTAAATAATAATCAGAAAGAAATGAAGACGTGCTACAGGCTGGTGATGTTTTGCAATGTTTCCTCCAGCTCATTGATGACATAGGGCCTCTGTTTTAATCACCTCATTGACTAATTAATTGCAGATAGCTAGTTTTCAAAAATGAACTGCCTTGTTCTTCTATCTCAGCCTATTGTTTATGATTTGATCTAAAAAAAAATTAGTATTTACAGCTTTGAAAGTATTTTTAGTGTTTTTTTCAATGTGAAGCTACGTGCGCTAGTCAAGGCCAGCCCTTACAATGTACCTTTGATCTCCCTTCCCAAAGACCGCTCTTTGTATCCCAGGAGTTGCAAAAATCAGTAAGCCTCAGTATCTATGGTATTTAGAGGAGTTATGTCTCTAATCATTGCTCTTCTTCCTTTTCCACTGTTCCTTTGGGGAAAACTTAATAAAAGAACACAAGCCTGATCAATCAAAAGAAGAAGCTAGAGGGTGACATTTCCCAGATGCAGAATGAAGTGGAGGAATCGATCCAGGAGTGCCGGAATGCAGAGGAAAAAGCCAAAAAAGCAATCACAGATGTAAGTAGACCAGTTCCTTGCTCATTTCATTTCATTTCAGTACCGTAATGTCTCAGGAAAATGGTTCCCAGGTCGACATTTCTGTGCTTGTTACAAAGTTCATGCCTCCAAAGGCCTCCACAGTTATCTGGAGGTAACCAATGAAGCTACAAAATAAAACAGGCTAGAGGTAAAAAGAGGGGAAAGGCATTTTTCCTGATATTTGGATTTTGGTTGTTTTGTTGGGGGTTCTTTGCCCAAGAATGCAGTGTTTACTGATCCTCCCTGTCTCCGGTCATGTCACCTTTGAATCAGGCAAATCATACACCCGGAGAGGCTAAACCAGTTCAGATTGAACTAGTGGTAACTGGTCTAGAATACATAGCATCTGATGTGAGGGATAAAATTACTGAATCCCAAACAAGGTACCGTAGAACTAGGTGTCTATTGGAAAAACATGAGGCCTAGACCTCAGGAGGAGAAACAGCACCTTCTTCCTCTAGGGAAGACAGAATTTGGGCAGGTATAATTTCATTTCTCACAGACATGGAGAAATCCAGATCTTCAGAGTTCAGCTAATGTATCACATCATACCAACAGATAAAATGGAAGCTAAAACTGGAAGCTTCTGTGAGTTATGTGTCTGGAGTGCCTGGACAAAGCTATTCCTGTACCCCATGGTCTTTATTGCTTCTCAGCTGACAGCACTATTGCTGCTGGCCAGAGAGAAGATGCTGATTGTCCTTGATTCAGTTCCAGCCTGGATTGCAGGGACTGCTGACTGCTGATGACTGCTTGGTGATGGGTACAAAATCTGTAAATGGCTCTTGGTGGCAGACACAAATAACAAAGCAGGAATAAGCTAATTGGCACCCTTGATACCTGTCTTGCAGAATGACCAGGAACTGTATAAGATGTTGAGACTGAGCTTTCTGCCCCAGCACAGAATGTAGAAACTATTCTGCTGTTACAGCCACCCGGGCAGCTCTCATCTATGGCTGTGCAGGCAAAGTTGTCTGCCAGTTTTTTTAAACAGCTATGTTTCAAGAGCTCCAAACATCAAAACTAGTTTGTGAATAAGTTCTGTGTAAAATGTCTGGAATGTATGGCACCGACTCATAGGCATTATAAATGAAGACATGATATAACACAGATACTGAAAAAATATGGGAGGGGGAATAGGGAATCTTAAATCACAGCATTAGAATAGGGAGAGTGGGGAAAAGGCCTCCAAGACTATTCTGTCCAGGCAAGATACGGACACATGAAATATTCTCTGGAGTTTTGTGTATAGTGAATGGTCCAAATAGAGGATAATCCAGGATTGATCTTCCATCTTTTCTTCTGAGACATAATCTTAAAACATGAGAGGGCTGCTGCAAAATGTGGTTGTTCTTCAGGCAGCAATGATGGCTGAGGAGCTTAAGAAGGAGCAGGATACAAGTGCTCACTTAGAGAGAATGAAGAAGAACATGGAGCAAACCATTAAAGACCTCCAGAAGCGACTGGATGAAGCAGAACAAATAGCCCTGAAAGGTGGCAAGAAGCAGATCCAGAAACTGGAATCCAGGGTAAGTTTGTGATCCAGCTTTGGACAACTGTCTCCTGCTTGCAGAACGGCGACCAGGTGGGTGCTCTAGGGCTGCATGATAAGTTCATAGAGAACAAGAAGGGATACTATGAATGCTTTCCTTTGTTCACAAAATTAAGGTGAGCAGTTCTTGGAGACATGCTTCCCCTTTGTCATCCACCTACAGTGAGCTGTTGTAGCACAGCAGATGACCAAGCCCTTGACTGGATGTTGGAAAAACCGATATCTAAAATCAGCAAAAGCCTCTCAAATGCTTGCTTCAGTTAAACTCTTCTAGCCTTTGCGTATGTCTGTGCCTTTAACTGCTAGTGCAGCTTATATACATTTATGAAAAACCAGAATGGAAAAGTGACACTTTGATCTGTTCCTGAAATTCGACTCTATGGAGATGCTGATAAAATTAGCATTTCTTGAACTGCGAACCAAATTATCTGCTGCTTTATACATGTGCAGCATAATTGTAAGGGTTCTTCCTTTTATTTTATTTTTTTGCAGGTTCGTGAGCTGGAGAATGAACTCGAGACTGAACTCCGTCGCAATTCGGATGCCCAAAAAGGAGCCCGCAAGTTTGAGAGGCGCATAAAAGAGCTGACTTACCAGGTACGCTGAGGATGGTAGTAACCACTAGCTCACTGGAAAGAAATGTGTTTTCCCAAACAGTGTCCTAAGTTGCCTCAGTGTTTTCAGTAAAGGATGAAGGATGGCGTTACTCAGAGCTTTCTGACTGTCAAAAGCTTTAGGGATAGGAGGAACGTCTCCCTCGGGCTACCATCATCTTGCCTGACTCATTGTGACTAATGTTAGAAAGCCTCTGTTGCTGGGATTTGGACAGCTTTAGCACAATATTAATATGGAGCAGGCTTAGATGACTATTCCCACTGCAGGAGAAGAAAGGGCTCAGCTGTCTCCCAGCTGTGCTGATGTTGCTAAAAAAGGAGCCAGAACGGTCCAGTTGACTCTCAATGCATCGCTCGCTGTAGGGTTGCCCAGTCCCAGGGCTCTGTCGCCTGTTGCTGAGTGGCACGGTCTAGTCGTGAGGCTCCCACAGGTTTGCTGACAGCTGCTGTTGCTGCTTGCCTTTCGAAAAAGGTCTTGAGCACAAAGCACTCATCCTTTTGCTTTCAACAGCATTCTTAAGAAGATAATCCCATCCATCTGCTTTAGGAGATTATTTAGCTTCCCTACCTGTTGTTTTACTCTGACTTTTGTATGCAGAGGCTGCAGATTGTCTTCTTAGAATACAGTGCTTCAGTGCAGGCAGACAGAATTATCTGGTCCATCTGCTTAAGGGACTGTGACAGCTTAAACCTGTCTCCTTTTACCAGAAATGCCTCCAAACAAGATTTTTAAATATGGAAATTACATATATTTTAGGCCCACCTACAGGTCTGTTTTGCTAAATAATGACATACTCTGTAATGCCAGGTGTGCTCCTCATGCCTTCATAAGGAACTCAGTGTGTGTTTAAACGTACACTTCTGAAAGTGTGTGCACATATAATATGTATGTGTATATGTATATATATTTACAGATATATATGATATATACATAAATGAGCAGGGTACTTTTAGTCCTCAGCCTCCAGGCTTACACCTATCTTCCATCTACCTATAGAAATTTTTCTCATCTATAGACAGGGTGATGATAGTATGACTTGTTTGTACTTTTAACTATATGTTTCTAAAATTATATATATACGACAGTCATACCTGTTTCTTTGTGGGAGGTGCCTCAGGCCTTTTTACACTGTCAACCTAATTAATGGCATTTTGATGCAGTCAGAAGAAGATAAGAAGAATTTGGCCAGGATGCAAGATCTGATTGACAAGCTGCAATTAAAAGTGAAAAGCTACAAGCACCAAGCAGAGGAAGCTGTAAGTAACTATTTGGGCCTTTTTACCTTTGAGAAATCTATTGCCCTAAACCCACAATAGAAGCTTTTAGTTCAAATACACCTTTTGTATGTGTATTTGTATTTATATTCATACAAACCCTGTATGTATAAATGTATTTATAATATATATATGAAATAAAACAAGTAGCATATGTGTTGATTATATTAAAGAAAAGGTATCCAATTTTATCTTAAGATGGCAGTATAATCTGCAGGGGAAGGAGGGGAAGGAACAGGAAAGACCTTTTTTCTCCTAGTCCCTCAGGAGGCACGTTGAGAACCTCCTAGTTCACTTAACATGGAGAGTGCCACTGGAAACTGTCAAACAGCAATCTCAGTTCTCCAGGAGGCAAGTGGTTCCCATGCAGCCGTTACCTGGTCGTGCTGAGCACTTTCGATCCCGCTTGAAATGGAAAGCTTTGTCTCACGTGGAAAGGAGGAAACCAGCTGCGCTGTTCTCTCTCTCCAGGAAGCTCAAGCCAACCTGTACCTTTCGAAGTACAGAAAACAGCAACATGATCTGGATGATGCTGAAGAAAGGGCTGAAATAGCCGAATCTCAAGTTAATAAGCTGAGGAGCAAGTCAAGAGATATTGGCATGAAGAAGGTATGGTTATACTGTATGGGGTAAACATGGCTGTTTAATACGCTGCAGTGAATGCTGTGTATGCAGGAAGAGCTGTTACATCTCTTAAAGTAGCATGGATGAGAATAAATTCTTGCTTACTACATTTTTTAGTTTCAATCTACCTTTTAATGTTATGGTAAGCCTTTAGGACAGCAATAGGATGCTTAGGCAAAATGAAATTTCTGTTCTCTTGATATTGTCATTTAACTTCTGTGCTCAGCAGCCAAAAGTTTCCAGAACTGGTGCTTTTGTTGGATGTTTTTTCACAAGGGATATTTAAAATCTCCATCTTTTTCTCCCTCTGATGATGTGGATTTCTATGCATGTAATACAGCCTGTAATACAGCCTGGGGATTACTGCACTAGTAGATTGCTATTTCATTGAACTTGTACTGATTTGAAGAGCTGGATGAAAAGAAAATATCGGGGATTAGTCATTTAGTTGCTGGGAAGTCATTAGTGATTAGAAATATATTTGTGGTATTTTGCACTTGAGCATAATGGTAGTTGAATAACACTGATGAAAGTAAAAGGTGCCTAAGAACTTATTCTGGAAGTGAAAGCAAACCTTTGCTAATCTATGCTTGTTGTGTGGCAGCCAGAGCAAGTAAGAGTTGGTTTGTTACTTGTAGGAGTGATAGGAAGAGGAGTTGAATTATTGTTTTGTTTATTTCACTTGCAAGTGAAACATAAACTGCCATGCTTAATGTCATATAAGTTTTATAGAGGCAACAGCTCCTGAGTCAAGAGAGAGGGGGAAAAAAAAACAACCCACCTTTCTGTATAATTTTGGTATTTTTATTACACTTGATTCCAGCACCTTCCTTTCTTCTTCTGTATCCACCATTCTGTGGGAGGAAACACTCCAATTTCTGCTTTTATGTTGGACTAATAAAGTCACCTTTGACTAATATAAATGATTGTAGCTCCTCTGTCTAAAGCAGAGCTACCTTAAAACTGCATGAACGTCTGGTCTCTCACCTGCTTACATATGCTGGAAGCAGTACTGTAACTGAAGTTCAGAAGAAGTTTTGCAGCTTTTAGGAGTAATTTTTTTTTTTCTTTAAATTACTCCAGCTCAGAAAACAAACAAAACAAAACAAAAAAACACACAAAAGAACCCCTCATATAAGTTAACAAAGCCATGGCATCACACAGACCATGAGAGCAATTAATTGTTTTAAACACCATTAAGAGTGCTGTTTATTCCTTGTATCTTAGCAGCACCCTCTTTCTGCCTCAAATATGCAAAAGTTACAGAAATGTGGATGCCTGCTTGACTGGTTTGACTTGTGGCAGCAACAGCAGAAGCTGCTAGGAAACACGTTTAGGCAGCGAGTGTTGTCCCCAAAGTCGTGATGTATCTTTAGGGAGAGAAAGGCATTGGAGAGGCTACTTTAATCATGTAACATTAGAAATACCCTGTCTAGAGCTACTAGGGCCCACGTTCCTGAAAACTCTGGGAAATGTGTGTGATTCAGAAGGAACACCACCATCTATTGAAACAAGGTTATAGAGAAGTTACCTGCTAACATAGATATTTGTGTGTGTGTGTGTACATAGCATGAGGACAAGAAGCCTGTATTGTTAGGAGAAGTAAAAAGGCAAAGTTGGCTAGATTGTTGCTACTTTATTTCAGATACAAACTGGTAATACCAGGGAGCAGAAGCATTAGTGAAGAGAAGCTTTTGTCATTTTTGTGAACTTGCTCCAAAACCCTCTCAACACTTCCATTGTTCACAACTGCGTACTATCTCAATTGCATTTCAGGTTCATGAAGAGGAGTAAGTACAGTCCAAGCTGACACCTATGAGAAGATGCTTGATACAATCAGGCACAACTGACAACCGATGTAGAAAAAATAAGCACTTCCGGAAATAAACCTCAAGTAAAAATTCAAAGAGATTGTGTAGCGTATTCCATTCATTTCTGTGTTTCTATTTTGCCAAGCCTCAGGGATCAATAGAAGATTACATCTTGCCAACAGCTCACTTCATTATGTTGGAACAAATCCTAATTGGCAGATCTCTGACAAAATCAAAACCAAGGGCAAATCCAGTCACGCTTCACAGCCTCACGTATTTCATGTGCAGACTGTTAACGCAGCACAGATTAAACCTGTGCAAGGGAACTGCCCTTAAAGCCGAGGTAACCCAGCTTCCAGCCATCCTGTCAGCCAGAGTCTGTACGAGTTTTGTAGGAGGACAGAAAGTAAACATTTTCATGTCAACAGTCAGTTTAGAAGTTTCCACTAGCACCAGCCAAAGGGCTTTTGTTCACCAGCTGCCACAGAGAAATAGGAGGTGCTGAGGAGGAACGTGTCCCACCAGGAGTGTCTGTGACTCAGAAACAGGGTGTTCTCTCAGATCTTTTCCACTTCTAAACAGGGAAGTTGTCTTTGCTTGAAATTGAAATAGTAAATGAAGTGCAAAAGAGTAAGCCCTCTCCTTCATAGTTTTAAAAAAAATAACAAATATAAAAAGCCCTCAAAACTGAACCTTCTTCTGTGAAAAGTTTTTTACTGTCCCCTTAGGATATCCAAGCTCCAGTTTTTCATGCCGATTCCTCACCCTACCAGTGTCAATTGACTTTTTTTTTCCTGGTCAGTTCAGTTGTTGCTGTTGCTCAGATAATCTCATTTTCACATGGCTCTTAGTTTAACTCTGTAGGGAAGGTGAAGGAACTCTGTTCTTTTCAGCAGCAATCTCAGTGGCACCTGCGTGTGCAGAGAGGGATTTTTCTTCTCGTCCGTCAAGGTGCCCGTACGCTTCCTCTTTTTCTGCGTATCTGTCAAAACAGAAATGTGTGTTAAGAACTACTGATGTGTAAAAATAATCCTCTAGTGGGAACAGAACAAGACATATTCACTATAAAGATAAGTCAGTCTTTTCCATTTTAACACTCGATGAGTAAAATAAACATCCAGATAATAGGGCAGAAACATTCCAATTTCTTCCATCTCTGGTCTGCCGTCAATGGAACCAGAGCTGAGTTAACCTGTCAGCTGTCCCACTGCCTCTGATTATATCTTGAAGATCTCAACATTTCCCAAGATAAATGCATCTTGCTTAAATTCTTTAAACTAAACAGCTGCATCTCAAATGTATGTTATCAACTCTAAAGCCTGTTAGCGTTAAAATTGACTAAAAAGAAGCATGCAAGTGAACTTTGAAGTAAGAGAAAAATGAAAAAAAGACTGACTCATTCATTTTATATTTGTCTTTCTGTTCTTGTGGAACCTCACAGTAACTGCTGTAAAACACCTCCTGAAGTTTACCAAATTCAGGCTGTAACAAAATCTTCATGGACAAGGCTGTACTGCCAGACACAGAAAGATGCACCCTAAAGACTGAGAGCTGAAGTTCATTTTTGAAGGATGCTCACCACATATAGCATGAGGGGAAGAAGAATATTCTAAGACAGAGCCAGCCTATTACAAATGCATGAGAATAAAACGCATCCATTTGACAATCCTGTACCCCATTAACTAGGAGAGATGTAGAGAGAGATGGGATCAGGGACCATACGGTTATAAGAGTCCCCAAACCAAAGCAATTAGTACAACTTTTCACAATGAAGTTTTGGTGAGCTTTGGTGTTGGATGTAATGGAAATAGTAATTTAGGCCTTAATGAAGACCAGTATGTGAATTGTTTGAGGGACTTCATGTTTTGATTTGAGGTCTTTTATGTGTTAAGCACAAGTGAGAAAAAATTAAACAGTTCGATGGTTTTAAAAACAAGTTATCAGAAAGTATTTGTGAAGGGTAACCAGCTTTTTTATCATTTTATAGAGCACAGGAGAACATCTGGTCAATGGAAGGGCATGTTAACATCAGTACAAACAAAACACTATTGCACAGATGTACCAAAGAGGGCCTTCAACACAATTTATTTATGCAACATTTTCAGTCTTTTCTGTACGCTGTAACCCATGAAAATCAAATTCACGTTCTGGTCAAAGATTCAATGTTTGGATTTAAGCTTAATAGTACTTTTAAAAATAATTGTCCTGATGATCGCACGTACCTTCAACCAGATCCAGACACAGGCTCCTGCTGCCAGCACCACAACGATCGCTCCTAGCACTCCTAGGTAACTTCTGATATGATGCGTGTTTTCTTGAAAAATGCAAATTCCAAAAAACTTAACAGAAGTGCTTTCTCTCACAAATCAATATTTGCTATTGTTCAGGAAGTATATCGAGGCTATGACTTATCTCTTATTTATAATCTAAAAGCTATGATTTGGGGAGAATGTCTCAGGGTGTTTTTAATGTTACTAATAAAATTACCTGACCCATACTACAAGACTTTAAAGCAATACTTCAATGACTTCAGTGTGAATAGTTGAAAGTAGATTATTTTACTTAACTATGCTGATACAAAGTTCCATGATTTGATGACGTCTTAATACAAGCCCCATTTAAAAACAATCAGCTGCCCAGCGTGGTAAACGCTGCCTCCAGGTACAGCACTCAGTGCCATTAACAGTACTGCTGATTGCCAGTAGAACATCTCAGTAAGCATTACCCAGCCTGAACCACAGAAACTTCTTGCAAAATCTTTGCAACTTTCGTCTCAAACATTTCCTGAGTTCACGATACAACAACTCAACCCAAGGTGGGTACAAGAAGCAGGAGATCCTGAGGTGGGCAATAACAACAGCTTCTGCAGGAGATAAGAGCCCGTCTAGCAGAAACCTCTGCGTGGTACCAAGCGTCTCATTCCTCCAGCCAATTTCAAGGTAAGAACGCTCAGACCTGGAGGACTCGTTGCTTTAAGTATGGTTCTCCTTCTTCAGGTTTCCTTTCCACTGCTGCATCTCATACAAAGAACTTGAAAAATTCTACACTCCTGTGGGAAGTCCCTATGGATGTCTGGCAAATGAGAACTGCCAAAACAGAGCGTTTGATCTAGCCATTGCTTTTAGCTTCGTCCTGTCCCTACACACAGACCTATGTTTGCATCTTGTTGGTTCTTTTGGCGCAGCAGCTTTAAGCTTCAATCCTTCTTTACACAGGAGGAGGCCTCTTTACCCTAAGAGTCTCCTTCTCAGTGGCACCTGGAAATCTTTCTGATGGTTGAGCAGCTGCTGTTCTATGACCACTATCCAACCCACTGATTGAGCTCATTCCCTTGAGTCCTGCTGTCTCTATCTGCTTTTCTGCTTTCAGCCTGTGCTGCCACGAAGGTGCTAATCTCTTTGGTAAGTGTCTTCTCTGTTCTCTGTGAAGTATTTCTGGTCCATGAGTAGGAAAACCATGTGAGTGGCACGGCAACTTAGCCACTAAAGAGGGAATCTCTATCACCTATGGCTACTGTAAGATCCACCTGCAGAGAGTAGCATGATAAAGGTATTTGTAGAGGACGATCCAGCTCATATTCAGACTGAGGGTGACAGAGCACTGGCACAGGCTGCCCAGGGAGGTTGTGGAGTCTCCTTCTCTGGAGACATTCAAAACCCGCCTGGACGCGTTCCTGTGTGACCTACTGTAGGTGATCCTGCTCTGGCAGGGGGGCTGGACTAGGTGATCTTTTGAGGTCCCTCCCAATCCCTGACATTCTGTCATCCTGCGAAGGGCTGCCTGTGTCTCCAGGAAATGTATGATGAGACTGATGGACTTGTGCACCCGAGCTAGGAGCATCAGTTAAGTAATTCCTTGGAGGCGTTTGGTGCTTTCCATTTCAGAGACACAATATTGGGTTTACAGGATAAGGGAGATCACGCTAGAATTTGAGCATCCAGAAAGAGCGTTTTTCTAATTTAACTGTTTTCTTTAATTCCTCTCCTTCGGGTTGCATATAGTCACTGGCATTTAAAACACACTGAAATTAAGGACCGAAACTGAGCTATCAAGGTAGAGGTGAGAGAAAAAGAAGACAAAAATATGTAGTTGTTATTGCTTATTCTAGCCCCCCTTCTGCTACGTTACCTCTGATTTTCATGTCCTACTGCCTTATTTCAAGTTCTTTAACACAAATTAGGTGCCCTATAGTAGTTCTCAGGGTTTGGGGTGATTGTATTTAATTGCATAAAATGCCTACATGCTACTGTTTGAACAGGTTTTTTTTTTAACTCCTCTCTTTGGACTGACATGTAAGGAGGCTGCATCCCAAATAGCATACTATTTTTGAACAAATCTGTAATTTGTTTGCACTGCAATTTTAGAGAGCTGGTGTAAATTTTCTTAACCTTCAGTAAGCCTTTTAAATAGAAAAGTTAATCTGTATTATCTCCTTGAAACAATCAAAATTAACTGTAACTAAGACTTCACAGCTGGTAATTTAACAGAGCCGATAAAAATGCAGCCAAACATATGTATCTAAAAAAGGCCTGCCGTGTAGAATGAAAGCTTTGAAATGAGGAGAACTGTCTGCTCTCCTGTACAAGGTTTCTTCTGCAGGCAAATTAATACCACATCTCTGGGCTTCCCTTCATCTCCCTGCTGCTTTTAAGGACCGTATTTGCTACTAGTGAAGCATTTAGGACATGATGCTGAGAGCTTCCCCGTGCCCTCAGCTCTGAGGGCAGTCAGTGTCAACTGAGGGCAGTGACCGATTTTGAGACTTTTGCCATAACAAGCTGCTGATTGAAAAAAAGAAACTTCAAATCTTTAAATAAATACATCTTAGGTTATAGCTGTTTTTTTTTTTTTTTCCCCAGGACAACAATAATAAAATACCTCTTCTAGCCATCTGTACTAATTACACAAAATAACTTTTCTTAATATTTTACAGATTTCTGATCATTCCTTTGGCTCTGCATCCCCTTACTGGTCCTCATTCTCAGAAAGGGAAAG